TTACCTGCATAAACAGCCTCTTTCTCCCCCCCCCCCCCCCGCCCTCTCCTCACCAACTTTTCCCCTATATAATAATGATAATGGGCAAGACGATGACCTGATAAATGCGGCAACGGCCACCACAATGTATCAACTAAGAGCTCCAAAAATCCAAAGCTGCCAAAGATGGCCACGCAAATCTCTCATCGCCTGATGCGTTGCCATTCTTCATTGTAATGTTAGTCCCTTCAGTGAATGAGACGGTCATGTTGCGAAGATCCCTTCCACTGTTTACCCATGTTGACCAGTCAGTAACTAAAATTTTCTGCTTCTGATGAGGGGGCCTATGAACCGTCATAATCCAGGAGCCCTAACCACGACTCACTCTCATCATGGATAAAGCATTATTAAGTGATACGAGCAGTCGCTTTGTTTACCAAGAAGTGTTGATCGTTCATCATGTGGTGGCGATTCATTAATGATTGTTTGTCTTACCACTGAACTCGGCCCTCCTCGTCCAAGTAATTTCGTTTTTTTTTCTTTCTTGCCTTGCACCCTGTCTTCCTCGTCTGGTACACTATGTACAGTCTAACACCCATAGCAGCCGTGCAGCTTCCTCTCTGCACTCCATCCAAAAGAAAAAAAACCCTAAACATTTTTAAAGGGTTTTACGACAGTCGCAAATCCCTTTTGAGTGCTCAGAAGGGAAGGATTATTACATTGTTATTATATATTTATATGGCAACTATATTTTTATTATACATATATTTAAATGGACACTACGTTATGTATGTATTTATGTATATAATATGTTATGTTTTTAAAAATGTTCTGTAATTTTACATTAATTCCCTCAGACAGACAGAAATATCCGACAAAAATGTCTACCCATACGAGGATAGAACGCACAGTATAGTATGGTATGGGTTTGAAAGCCCTGTTTCACCGCAGTGAGGTTAGTTAATGAGGAGGGATATCTAAATTTAACAACCCAACTCTGACATAATTTATGAATATCAGTATAGTACGTGCTCACTTTCTAAGGTCAAAAGAATCAAGGACTGCGTCCTGAATACATTTCAGGTCGTTATCATTAAAATTCTGGAGTCATCCTTTCTCTTTCAAGTGCACATGTATTCAACCCCAAAGGAAGCAAGAACAAGGCTCCCTCTGACTATCGAGTAAGAATAATTGTACCGAGATTACCCCAAATGGTCAGTAATCAGAATTTTATAGAAATCTGAGAGTCAGATAGTGTTCAATTATAATTTAGATAGCTTTGCAGTATTGTCCTCCACTTTCACTGTAGGTCTACTTCAGAGGAAGAGAAGATCTTTTGTTAGTTTTTAACAAGACACCGTGGGAAAGATGTTCTTTTATATTCGACTGCAAAGCAGGCAGTCATTAAGATGTTTGTTCTAAAATGAATTCAAAGGGCTGAAATGAAAGTACGCTCATTGCAAATGAAATGAAATTACGTAAGTTAGTTCAGTGAACGTCAGGCAGTGTAAATAGTTGGATTCCCAGAAAAGGTGATTTCTTGAGAAGGGGAGGGAGGGGGAATTATCTCAACCCCCTACCTTGTCTCTCAACCTAGACAGGACACCGAGTTGAGCAAGAATGACAAAGTAGAGAGAAACCGTTTAGGATTTTAACTCTTAATAATGACTCTGCGTCATTGTTATGCACCTTGCTTTAACCAACATGTCAGCTAATCAGTTTGTACGCTCTCCATCAACACAGTTTCGAACTTCTAGGAGGCAGGCTTTTTAACCCTGTTTGTCAGGATAACCCCAGTTGTGAGAGATACAACACTCCAGCTGACAAACGATGGTACTCTATCTTAAATTGTTTAGAAAATTACAAAAACAAACAACCTCACCATGCTGGAATCGAACCAACGTGTTCTGCATGCGACGGTAAATCACCTAACCACGAGATCACAGACTCCTATTCGCCAGCTAGCACAACTCTAAACACTTAAAAAAAAAGAGAAAATACTTCACTAAATCTAAAAGTACAAGCTGTGAAATAATTGGAGAACAGATGACACAAGTACTTTATCCCTCAGTACACAATTCTCTTTACGCTAATAGTTCTCTGCCGGAGATCTGGAAGTGGTGTAATTTTGGCAGCTGTGCTGGGCGAATAAACGATGTTTTGTTGCTACGAGCAAGCACTTGTAGTTTAAAATAATTCGGTAAGGGAAAAACAAAACAAAACAAAGGGGCCCGAGCGGTTTGGACGAATTCCACCCTTTGCTGGATCTTTAAGTGAGACTCAGAGACACGAATTGTACTTTCTGTGACCGGAGACTGCCTGGCCACCGCTCTTTGCTATCTATAATCTTCTTTGTTCGGATGCGCATCATCAGCGAGCAAAAAAAAAGGCATGGCACCAGTCTCCAAAGTTTTACTCTCTTGTCCTTCATTTGATTCCAAATAGAGTCAATTAATGGTACCCTTCAAAATGTGGACCCGAATGATGTGAGAATGCAGTCTTGGGTTACCATAATACATTTTATGGTGCAGAAAAGAACTCACACTCGTATTTTCCAGAGAAAAACGTTTTCTCTGTTTCATTTGTTTTAGTAAACTAATGTTTTTCGGCATTGCAAAATGCACACTTTTGCCATATAATCTCCTAAGATAAGAGGTATTATAAGAAAAAAAACAAGCGCAACAAAAGAAGGAGAAGAAATATAAAATATAAGGACAATAGATGTTTGATAGGAAAGAAGGAACAAATCAACCACAACACGGTTTCAATTCACTCATCTTATTAGTTTTTCCTATTCTTTATCATAGGAAGGAGATAATATGCCTCACAAGTTTTCAATATATTATTTGAATATTTTTCAGACCCGAAGCAAAAAAATACAAACAAATAAAAAACAATACAAATGCAAGCTCGGACTTTTACAGGACAATTCCGTTCTTTTATTTTTATTTGAATGTGTTGTTCGGGCAATAAATTGGCTAATGCTGTAGGGTTCCAAAAGAAACAATTTGTTTGATTATTTATGCGTATATTATTTTCTCATTAAGGTTAATATGAATGCGCAGATAAATAATCCTTCGGTTTTATCGACGATAAAAAGTCGTAATCTCATTCGAGCAATGAGAATTCTAGAAACAGTTTTTGAAATTAGGTTGTATTATGATTTCGCCATGAGGCAAAACCTCCCCAGGATTGCTATCACTCAAAGGGAGGAGTTGAACATTTATTCATTCAATTTGTTCATCCATATGTGTACTTTCTTATGGAAGCTTTTGTATTCAATGTTCATGATTTATGGCTATCGTTATCATTGATATGATTATTTGCTTATTTGTGTTGATTTTTACTTAGAATTATTATTTCTTTTTTATGTGAATGTTTATTATTCAGGAAATTCAAAGTACAATACAGCCAGATGATGATGCAGCAAGAGATGAACAGTTCAGAAGAAAGCTAAAATCGTTCGCCCATGTTCTGGTAATATACTAGCGATCAGAAAAAGGCACCACTTTTTAATTGGGTATACCGTCTAGTCATCGGATGTTTACGTTTATCATTTCACGTGCGTGATGGTAAGTACTCTAAAAAGTAGGTTATGTTAAAAAAAACAAAACATTTCGGTGTTTAAATTGTGGTTCATAGCGCCCACAAAAATAAGAACATTGTGTCATTTTTTCAAGATCATGGGGTGGATTTTTTTCTATTCTTTGTTTTTTTCTTCTGAAGTTTAGAACAGTGTTAATCAAAACCAGAAACAACACTTGATCATTGCGTATCAAGAACGATAGCATCATCATAGACATCGAGCCATCGGTATGCTCCACACCAATGCAAGCGTTTCTGCTGTTGCCAGGACACTCAATGCCGACAGACAAACAGACGTTGGATGTCCTGGAAACAACAGAAACGTGCAGAGCATGCCGATGGTTCGATTTCTCTGATGTTGAGTTAAACCTAGAACCTTTCTTGGGCGACAATGCTCGAATTTTATTTCGGCTTATGTGTAACTCAGACTGTGATTTCATAGAAAAAAGCTAAGAAAAAACAACTGTGCTGTGGACACTAACTGAAGGACCAAAATATTGTCTTTCTAATATTACCTACTGTTAAGAGTACTTGTACTTAGAATTGATGGCGTGAAAGATTGTACTTATGATGGCGTGAAAGGAAAAGCCTTAACTATCAAAAGACTAGAGAAAAATTTCTACACAATCTCAAAGTGGTACCTTTATTTGATAGCTCGTATATTATAATGAACGTTTTTTTGTACCTTAGTCGACTCTGCTTAGATCATGTAGGAGACGAACTGCTTCTACCTTATCTGTTAGGGCCGACTCCAGTTAAGAGGAAAGCAATGTCCCAATAGACAGAGATAACTAATTAAAAAGAATTCTTCCTGCACTGTAAACGAACTCACATCTCCCGAGTGCGAAGGCAAAGCACGAACCAACTTCCCAAAACCACATACAATCATAATCTTTTCCTTGCACATATTGTTTTCTAACTCTTTTTTTTTCTTTGCTTTTTCTCCCACTCCTCCCTCCTCCTCTCTCTTTCTCTCTCTCTCTCTCTCTCTCTCTCTCTCTCAC